AAAAAAGCAAAACATACAGAAAACAAGAAATGGAAAATTATTTGCTGACATTAACATGTTTGTTGATGTGCTTGATTAAGACAATATACAGTGTACTCTGGATGGAAAATCTCATTTTTGTATGCTGTAATGATGTACAGTGAATGAATGCAAATAAATAAATTGAAATTGAAAAAAAAAAAAGATTTTGCACATTCATACACATGTGCCTGGCATGATTTTTAAGTCACTGGGTCCGGGACTTGAACCGCAGCCAGCCATATGAAAGTCTAGTGCCTTAACCATTACATCCCCTGCTGGCCCCATCCGGATATTCTAACAATTTTAAATACATATGCACCTAACAAAACCCTCCAACAAATGAAACAAAAACTGAAAAAACTGAAAGGAAAAATAGATGGATGATGGTGACTGACGACTTCAATACCTTACTCTCAATAATGGACAAAACTAGGCAAAGGATAAACAATGAAATAGAAACCTTGAAGAACAACAGTATAAAACTAGTAACTAGACCTAACTATAGAACGTTCTATGACAGAATATACATACTCTTCTTAGGTACACATGGCCCATTTTCCAGGATGAAAATATTCTATCGAAAACTATGACAGGAGAATGCATACATAGTCTTCTTAGGTACACACAGACCATTTGCTAGGATGAATAACATTCTTGGCCAAAACACAAGAGATTCCATAAATTTAAAGGAACTGAAATCATACAAAATATGTTCTCTAACCACCATGGAAGAAAATTTAAGCTATTTACAATTACATGGAAATTACGCAATATACTCCAAAGAATCAAACAATTCAAAGAAGAAATCACAATGGAAATTAGAAAATAATTAGAGATGAAAACACAACACATTAACATTATGAAATGTAATTACAGCAATGCTTGGAAGAACATTTATGGCTATAAATGCTACATTAAAAAAGAATAGAGATCTTAAAAAGATCATCTCATTTTCCACCATAAGATACTAGAAAAAGAGCAAAGTAAACCTACAGAAAGTAGAAAGAAGAAAATTATAGAGACTTGGGCAAAAATTAATGAAACAGGAAAATCAATGAAGCCAAAAGCTGGTCCTATTTGAAAAGGCTAACAAAACCAAAAACTTTTAGCTAGAATGACCAAAGAGAAAAAAAGAGAGAGAGAGAGAGAGAAATCCAAGATACTAAAATCAGAAAAAAATGACGGAATGTCACTACTGACCTTATAAAAAAAGTGAAAAGGAAAAGAGAATAAGAACAAATTAGATAACTTAGATAAAATGGACAAATTCTAGAAAGACACAAACTCCTAAACTGACTCAAGATGAAAAAGAAAATATGAGCAGATCTATATATAACAAGACATTGAATTATTCACATAGACAAAGTCCAGGCTAAGTGGCTTTAATGGTGAATTCTACCAAAAATTTAGAGAACTATGAATTCCTTACAAAGTCTTTCTGAAAAGTATCAGAGATGGGCACATTTACTAACTTAACCTGTGAAACCAGGATCAACCCAATACCAAAGCCAGACAAAAACATTATAAGAATACTATAGACAAGTATCTCTTTTGAATACTGATGCCAAATCCCACAGAAAAATACTAGCAAACAAAATCTAATGACAAAAATATACAGAAGAATTATATACTACGATCAAGTGGGATCTATGCCAAGCATAAAATTGCTTTATTTGTTAATCGTTTGTTCTTTGAACTCTCTGTGTCTAAGTACCATAACTTATTCACCTTTATATACTCAGTCACTTGCCAGTAACAAATGTGTATCATTCTCATTACGAATAGCACATCCACCCCACCCTGTTCTTTACTTCGTTAAACTGCTTTATTTTCCTTCAAGTCAATTCTGTCATTATATGTATGTTCCTGCTCTATCCTCAATGCCTAGGAACAACTTAACACTTAGATAGATCTTCAACAAATATTTGTTTAATTAATGACAGCAACTACATAAATTTTAAAACAGTCTACATCAATTTCTAAGTTGCAAGGCATTACTCACCTAAGTTCTTCAGGTTTTGTTGTACTTGCTGACAGGAAAAAAAAAATGTCATCTCATTAGTCTCACCTTCCATGATAAATTACTTCAAAGTAAAACCTTGACTAACTGCTTTATAAGTCTTGTTTTCCAGCTATATATTTTAAAATCTCATTCACAAAAGTCTTGAGTTTCACACCATTAAAAGTCAATAATGACAATATTGCCTCATTTTTTGTTTATAAGGTGTCATGTGTTCGCCAGGACAGAAAGAGAGGGAATGTGAGAAGGCACCCCGAAGGAGGGGAAGCCACAACACAATCCCTTCTCCATTCTCTTCTTGGGATTTTGGGCATGCACACACATACTCCTGGCATGTCCTCAAACTGGTGCAGGAATCAAACTACATAGTTGGCTCTGTGGGATCCAGCTGCCTTAACCTCCAGGCCATCTGCTGGCTCTCAATTGAAAAAAAAAGAAAAAGGCAGAGAAATAAGTATATTTTGAGGGTGCGTCTTCAGAAAGTTCATGGAAAAGACACAGTATGAAAAATCTGCATATGGATTTCAAAAAATTTTTGCACCAAAATAAACTACTTTTATTGCAATTATCCATGAACTTTTAAGTCCCCTTACATATATCTCCTTCAAAACAGAACCATCTGCAAGCCTCCTAGATAGTGAGCCAACCGATTCCAAATAAAATCAGTGGAAAACAAGAGGTAACTTCGGCTTTTACACTATCACAAAGAAAAACAGTCTCATTTATAGGAATTATTACTAATATAAATCAGTTTTTCTAAAAATCAGCCCCGCCTAAATAAGAAATATCAACACTGCCTAAATAGTAAATAAAAAACAACAGAAATAAAAAGGGAAAAAAAATGAGTACTACCAAACATCAAATTATGGCAGTTTTTCTGAGCAACCTGTGATGACTGACACTGAATACTTAAATTCAATCTATGATTAATACAAATTCAGATTTAAAACCAAACACAGCTTTAATATATTTGTCAAAGTGAATCATGCTTTTTAAGAGAGATTTTGGCTATAGGGTGTGCGTGTTAGCTGGAGAGACAGAGACAGAGAGAAAGAGAGAAATCACGCCCCAGGGGCAATGGCCATGCCGCAATCCCATCTCCACCACTCTCCTATCAGGATTTTGGGCACACACACACATGCACCCAGCATGATAAGCTGCTGGGTCCAGGACTTGAAAGATAATCGACTATGTAGGAGTCCTGCAACGTAACCATTACACCATCTGCTAGGTCCACCATGGTTTTTCTTACAGAATTAAAGTATATTAAATAGCAAGTAACATTTATAAATTCAGAAATATCTATGTATAGTGCATACTGATGCTTAAATTTAAAAACTATATTTAACGGGACTAGCAGGTGGCATAGTGGTTGGGGGCACTGGACTCCCACATGGCTGACCACGTTTTGAGTGTCAGATCTGGCAGCTTGCTTTCTCACATTTCTTCTCTCTCACGCACGTGCGCACTCTCTTTCTCACTCTGTCCCTCTCTGGTCAAATTAAAATAAATAAGTAAATAATAAAGATGAAAAACATCTTCAAAAAAACATACAGAAGGCTCACTGATCCTATAATATAATTTATTCTCAAAATGTATTCATTACATATCAGTATTTTGAAAAATTGCTAACAGGATTAAGAGCTGTTTTATTATAAATGAGATCTTTAAATATAAAGAAAATGTTGCAGGGCTAGCAGTGTGTGTGGTGGCTAAGGTTCTTGGACTACCACATGGCAGACCTTGCTTTAAGCCCTGGACACAGTGGCTTGAAAAATCATACTGGCTCATGTGCATACGTACCCAACATCCTGGGAGGAGAATGGAAGAGATGGAACAGCACGGTGGCCATCGCCCTGGAGGGTGTTTTCTCACTTTCCCTCCTCTCTCTGTCTCTCTCTCTCTAGTGAGCACACATGCCCCATGGCAAAAACCTTTTTTAAAAATAAATAAATAAATAAAGGAAGGAAGGAAGAAAATGTTTGCTCTATCTACAGGAACACTAAAATAGTTGATACAAACAAAAACAAACATAATCTTGGAAATCTGTATTGGGATTATTATAAAATTTAATATCAGCTAACATATAAAGGCAATTTTCCATCGTATATCTTATGAAATTGATTATGCCAGAGTACTTTAGTTGACTAAAACAGACTTAAGGAGATGCAGGTAAAACTCTTAAGTATACAATACTAGCACATGATTTTCAAGAAAAAAAAAGATGCAATTCACCTTTCATTTGGAGGGTTCGTCGAGAATATCGTTTGCTGGGCCTTCTTTCAAAGGATGTAGATCTTCTGGCTTTGTTAGTTTTTGTGGTCTGATACTCAGTTTTCCCACTAAGATAAATGAGACATATCAACAAAAATAAGAGAATGTTAGGCCTACCATAACTAAATACATACGAGAAAATCTACATTTAGGTTCTCCTTGAAAGAATAATCTTAAACATCCCAAAGGAACTATTTACTACTCATATCTTGATGCCATTCTTTACTATGTCACTCTTTTACTTTTTGTGCTTTTATGAAAGATACAACAGATTACACTGATCCTCTCCACCACAACCACGTCTATCTCCTTAAAAACACTAAATAAGTTTTCAATATACATGCTTTCATAAAATTTCCTTCTGCCTCTCCATCCATATTTCTCAATGCAAAGTGTGTAATTAAGATTATCAGTTACTTTTTGTAATTTGACATACTTTTCAGAATGATTTTCAGGGAACCAGCAGTTAGCGTAATGGCTATGTTGCTGGACTCCCACATAGTCGACCGCAGTTTGCGTCCCAGACCCGGTGACTTAGAACTCACGCCGTGCGCGTGTGTATGCATGCCCAAGATCCCGAGAGGAAAATGGAGGAGAAGGGACTGCGGCGT